CCCTAAGTATTTACTCACACAAATGAGCAAAGACATACAGGCACAGGGATACTCAAGATTTTATGGACAGGTATTTTGGGGGGATGAATGCACAGGAGTGTGACGGCTATTTAATATTTTAAGAAACTGCTAAACTATTTTCCAGAGCGGCTATACCATTTTCCATTTCTTTTTTTTTTTTTAAATTTTTTTAACGTTTTTATTTATTTTTGAGACAGAGAGAGACCGAGCATGAATGGGGGAGGGGCAGAGAGAGAGGGAGACACAGAATCGGAAGCAGGCTCCAGGCTCTGAGCCATCAGCCCAGAGCCCCACGTGGGGCTCGAACTCACGGACCGTGAGATCGTGACCTGAGCCGAAGTCGGACACTCAACCGACCGAGCCACCCAGGCGCCCCCTTTTTTTTAAAAAATTTTTTTTAAATTTGTTTTCCATTTTCCATTTCTACTGGCAGATTATGAGTGATCTATTTTCATCATTTCCTTTTCCAAATTTAGTATTCTCACCATTTTACGATCTTTAAAAAAATGTGACCTTTATTTTTCACACCTTAAAATTTTGTTTTTAATTTTTTTAATGTTTATTTATTTTTGACAGACAGAGACAGAGCACGAGTGGGGAGGGGAAGAGAGAGAGGGAGACGCAGAATCCAAATCCAGGCTCTGAGCTGTCCGCACAGAGCACCATGTAGGGCTTGAACTCACAAACTGCAAAATCATGACCTGAGCCGAAGTTGAACACTTGACCCAGGTGCTCCTATTTTCCCCACCTTTAAACAAATTATCCACAGTCCATAGTTTATATTAGAGTTCACTCTTTGTGCCATACATTCTATGGGTTTTGACAAATGCATAATATCTACCCTCCAGTATAGTATTTCTTACCATTTTAAATTTTAGCCATCCTAGTTGGTGCATAGTGATATCTCATTGGTGGTTTTAATTTGCTTTTCCCTAGTGGCTAATAATGTTGAACATCTTTACATGTGCTTATTTACTATCCATATATCTTACTTTATGAAATGCTTTTCATGTCTGTTGACCATTTTGTAACTGGATTTTTTTTCTCTTTAATTTTAAGAGTTCTTTATGCAATCTAGATACAAATCCTTTGTCAGATCTACGGTTTGCAAATATTTTCTCCCAGTCTGTAGCTTGCTTTTTTATCCTCTGAACAGGGTCTTTCACAGAGCAAAATTTTTATTTTACTTATTTTTATTTTTTACTTTCACTTTTTTACATTTTTTACTTTTTAAAGTTTATTTATTTATTTTGAGAGACAGAAGAGAGAGAGAGAAAGCAAGTGGGGGAGGGGCTGAGAGAAGGAGAGAGAAAGAGAATCCCAAGCAGACCCTGCACTGTCTGCACAGAGTCGGATGTCGGGCTTATACCCACAAAACACAAGATCATGATCTGAGCGAAAATCAAGAATCGGATGCTTAACCAACTGAGTCACCCAGGCTCCCTGCAAAAGTTTTAATTTTGCTGGAATCTCAGTTATCAATGTTTCCTTGATGGATCATGCCTTTGGTATTATACATAAAAACTTTCCCTAGCTCTACTTCCCTGTATTAGTTTCCTAGGGTCGCCAAAACAAATCACCACAAACTTGGTGATTTAAAGAAGAGTAAACTATTTTCACCTCCTACTATGGCCGAATATTCACTAATTATTTTTTCTGTATGTCATTTCCTGTCACCTCTCTAAATATAACAATTATTCTTAAGTCCGCTCCCCCACCCTTTTTTGGCTATTAGCTTTGTTTCCTTGGGTGTAAATTCTTCTATTTGTTGAAGTTGTGGCCTATGTCAGATTATGTCTGTTGGTACTCAGCCCTATATCTATTTTTCTATATTCCCTTTCACTCCTGACTCCCTTGCCAGATGAGCTCCTGTTAGGTTCTGCGAAGGAGAGACAGCTGTGTAAGATTGAAAGGAGCAAAACAGAGAAGCTTTGTGTTTCTGGTGGTGCCCCCGGTGGTGTCAGTGACCCTAGCTGCTCTTCACTGCAGTGGGGGAGCCTCTAGGAGTACAGTGAGTGTAGGCTTACAGGCTCTGGCCCAGGGGCAGGGGCCGCTTCCTGATCTCTGGGCAACACCCTCTCCTTTCCTTTGCTTCTCCAGCAGTTCCAAAATGATTGTGGAAAATTCTTGGACTCAAACAGTACTTTGGTATCAGGAGGGGCCCCAGGACACAGGTTCTCAAAGCTATAAATCTAGGGTTGCTTATCTGGCCTTTTTGCCAATGGGAGTGCATTACCGTTAGTCCAAAGCATGAGTGGGAAAATAGGTGCTTCAATTAGTATCTGAAGTTGCACTTGGATGAAGTGCAGTTAGAGCCAGACTTTTTCCTTTTATAGCCAAGAATTTTTTCCTTTCTTGCCACTTATAGGTATTTGGGAAAGGAGCAGAAGGCTGCAGGGTATGCTGTCTGCTGCCTTGCTCCAGTGTTCTGGATTATGTTTCAAAACATAGTCATTATGCTTAATTATGTCGATTAAGATTATTTTTTGAAATCACAATGAAGCGAAAAATATATGGCAATATTTAGCCATACTTACAGGAAACTTAGTCATGCAGCCTGCTGTTTTAATATTGCAATTCACAAGCTGACAGGGGATTGGACTGTAGCCATCATCACTACCTAGAGTGAAATGATCACATTAATGTGATCATTTCCTCTAGGGTGTGACAGTTCCGTCCTGGGAAAGAAGGCTAGCCTCAAGGCACTCCTGGCTGAATGCTCTTCAGTTACAGTCTCTGAGCCCCTATGCCACAGAATTGCCTCTTTCCACATGGTGACCTTTGTAGTGGATGGCAGATTTCTCTGAGGTCTCAAAATGACAGGCTTTCACAATGTCACTGGCTGACAGCCAGACCCAGTGCAATCCTGCTGTGCTTTTGGGGCTAAAGTCATTCCACCTTGTGCAACAGTTAAAGCCTGCTGTAAACAGCCACATTCCCAGAAAGCCAGGAGAAAATGGTGTTTTTTTTGGGGGGGGGGGGCGGGGGCAACCCGAAAGCTACACTAAAGTACAAGAGTAAATCTTAGGGTTTCATAGTCCATCAGGAAAAATGAGGGACATGAGGTATTAGAAAGCATACGAGTTTTGTAGTCAGACTGATCTGGCTCAAATCTTAGATCTGTGCCTTGGCCAAGTCACTTTATCTCGAAGAACTCCAGATGCTTTATTTGTAAAATATGAGACAGCCGTAGCTATCTCCCGGGAAGATTAAATATGATCACTTCCCTATTCATTTATTCAACATTTTTTATTGCCTACCTTGTACCAGATCATATTCTAGGGGCCAGGGGAGACCACACTGAAAAGGCAAAGCTCCTGTTCTCATGAGGTTCCTCCTGTAGTGAGGAGAGACAGATAGTAACACAAACCAAAAGTGATGTAATTGAGAGTAGCTACCGTTTCTGTTTTCTCTTTGGTCCAACCTACCTGGCAAACTATATTAAACCTTGTTTTCCCTGGCCCCTTAGCTAAGCCAGTGGGCCCTTGGAAAGGGACTCATGACTCCAATCTCAATGGCCTAATGTGACTTTTTTTTAAAAATGTTTATTTATCTTGAGAGAGACAGAAAGAGAGTGCATGTGCTTGCATGCACAAGCTGGGGAGGGGCAGAGAGAGAGAGAGAGAGAGAGAGAGAGAGAGAGGGAGAGAGAGAATCTCAAGCAGGTTCTGTGCTGACAACAAGGAGCCCGACGTAGGGCTTGACCCCATGACTGTGAGATCATGACCTGAGTCAGAATGGAGTCAGATGCTTAACCACCCAGGTGCCTCATCATGTGACTTCTCTAGAAAATTTGCATATTAGCAGGAGGCCTTAGGTCAGACTTTTACTTCACTTTGCTGTGGACTTTTAGGCTCTGTGTGGCCAGCAGAGGTGGTGTTTGGGGACAGGCAGACACTTGCCTACCTCTGCCTGAGAACATTCTGTTTCTGAATGTCTTGTAGAAGTGGCTGCTGGGATCCCGAGTCCTAGCTGGGGTCATGATTTAATGCCTGAGAATTCATGGCTTGTAGGGGCCAGCTCTGATCCTGCATTTCAAAACAAAACATGGGTTTGCCAAGAAAGAGTCTAACGTGATGAATGTTGCCATTTCAAACCTAAGCCTTCTAGCAACACCTATGTAGGTGGCAACCTCTGGTCTTCCAGGCCAATCCCATCCCAGAGCGGGGTTCACCAATAGGTAGATTAAGCAATATGCCTAAGGCACTGGCAAAATGAGGACTCACATACCCATAAAAAGTTAGTTTTCAAAACGTTATCTGGAATTTTGGAACCAGAAAATCTTGAAAGACATTCTAATATTAGGTCTTATGTCAGTTCTCTGTTGTGTTGAATTTGAATAGGGTTGGGGGCTCCATAGTCTTTTGGAATGCAGGGTCTCTAAAGATCTTAATCTGGCCTTGCCACCCACTGCTTCAGAAACTTCCCTTTACCTCAGTTCTCAGAATGAACACACAAAGTCTTCCCCACATCTGAGGTCAAGGCCAGATAGTGGAGGATATGTTCTATGTCTTACTTTATTGCAGCATTCTCCCTTCTGAAGTGGTGTGTCTGAACCACAAAATGTCACACTTCATCATGCACAGTGAGCAGGAGTGTGGTGGTGGTAATCGGGGTCCCTGACTTATTAGGGCAAAGCTATGGGGAGAGGGAGGTCCCCTGGACCACCGGGCAATTCATTTTACAGGAGGAAGTTTCTCCCACAGATGGAGAGATAGCTTGTAGCTTGCTTTCCTTTCTCTGGTCTTGACCCTTGTCCCATCTTCTACTGCTATTGTAGGAAGCCAAAAAAAAAAAAAAAAAAAAAAAAGGAGCCAAGACCTGAGAATGTGAATGTTGTGACTGTGGCTTCCCACTTGGCTTCCCAAGCCCAAGGGGGGTTGCAGCAGGTTCCCCAGAGTGGAGACCTGAGGCAGCTGCCAGGGGCAAGGTGCCCTCCCACTGGCCTCTGGCCCTCACAGGGTTAGCCAATGGGAAGAGACAACTGTGGGGTGGGGACTGCCTGCCCCCATGAGTACCAGGCTGCCGAGGCTGGACCATCTCCTCACTTCCATCCTGACTGCAGTCTGTGGGTCTGATTCTACACCTGAGGGTAAGATCAAGTTGATCACAGTTCCAGGCCGGGGGTGGGGATGGCTGCCTTGCAATGGAGCCTCTGGCTGGGGTATGCCGAGGCTCTCTTGTACAGGCAAAACTCTGGTGAGGGCAGCACTGGCGGAGGCAGACAGACCTTGGGCTTCTTTCTTGATTCTCCCACAGCTCCAAGAGTAAAGGAGCTGTTCCTCTGGTGAAAATCTTGAATTTTGCCCAATTCACTCTGTGGCACGATGCCTACCCAGAGAAAAGGTTGGGATCCGTGAGGAAGGAGGGATGGTCCAGTGATAGAGTTCAATTAAATAAGAAGAGAAGGAAATAAGGCACTCCTCAGCTTGACCAGGTAGGCAAGGAAAGTAGGCAGCTCGGGGATAGCCTGAGCTCTGACCTCAGCTTGAGGCTGGAACCCAGCTCTGCTACTTGACTCTTCTCAGCAAATATTGATTGAGAAAGTTCTATAGGCCAGACATTGGGTAGACTTGCAAAGATGAGTGAGACATAATCATTGTCTGGATTTGAGGGAATCTGTAAATATGGGCATGTGGGGATTTCTCACAGGACGATTGAGACATTCAAATGGAGTAATGCAAGCTTGGCATATACTGAAAACGTAGGAAAATCTTGTTTTTAGAAGACATTTTCTGGCCGAAACCAACGGGTCTGCCTGGCCTTTGCCACGCCCAATCCTGCTCGCCCCAGCAAGTGCTGTGCCTGAGGCATCTGGTTGTTTTCAGTGCGGGAGGCAGACGTCAGGGCAGGAAGGATTTTAGAGATCGGGCCATCCCTCTGTGTCAGTGGATGTGGATCCCTGGTCTGGAGAGGTTCTGGTTTTCAGACCAGTCCTCACAGGGAGTGCAGCCACCTTACTCCTGGTGACTCCCTCCATTAGGGGTAAGGCCAGCTCCTCCAGACAAGGTAGTGGAGCAGGGGAGCCCTTTATGCTGGTAGAAACATGCCCAAAGGAGCATGAAGGTGTCAGCTTCGCTCTTGAAGCAGGGAAATAGAAATGGAGCCCTGCAGCTCAATTGGCAGTCCTTGTTGCCTTCCTCCCTTAACTCTTGAGGAGCTGTAGAGAGAGACACAGGACTTGCTTCTTGTCCTTTCTAAGGTGGCCGCAGGGACAGACTTTCCACCTACTCCTTGTCAAGCCAAGAGATTAGTGGCCCGACTTGGCTGAAGTCAGAAGGTAGAAGCTTTGGAGAGCAGAAATTTTCAGTCAGGATTTTTTTTTCATGTGGAGAGCGACTGATTCTAAAAATGCATTGGAGGGATGTTCGGCTTTACTAGTTCTTGAGAATATATGCGTGTGTGTGTGTGTGTGTGTGTGTGTGTGTTGGGCATAGGAATGCTGACAGCTCTCCTAGGGTTGAGTGAAAGCTTTCAGGTAAGGGATGCCTTGGTGGCTCAGTCAGCTAAGCATCTGACTTTGGCTCAGGTCATGGTCTCATCGTTTGTGAATTCAGGCTCCTCATTGAGCTGTCTCCTGTCAGCACAGAACTCGCTTCAGATTCTCTGTCCCCCTCTCTGACCCTCCCCTTCTTTCTATCTCTTAGAAATAAATAAAAAAAATTTTAAAAGGATAAGATTCTCTCTCTCTCCTTCTCATACTCTCAAATAAAAGAAAAAAAAAAAAAAAGAAAAAAGAAAGAAAGCTTTCAGGTAATCCTCCTGGGAGCTAGACCAAACTGAGTTGATTCCTGATTCTGTCATTCATCATTAGGTTGTACCATGTGAAATGGTACTCCCAATATTCTACCACTTTAACCTTTAAAAATGGCGAATGCATATAACCCACAAGAGTTGTATGATTTTTTTTCCTCCCCAGCTGCCCCGCCCTGTATACTAAGAATTGCGTGATCTTAAGCCAACATCTTGGTCTCTTCAAGTCTCAGATTCTTCTCTATAGTAGAATCAAGAGCAGGGCCGTGGGGAAGGTTACAAGAAATCAAGTTTGAAAGTGCCTTATGTAATTTCTACTCCAAAGTATCCTTGACCAATTTCAAAGTGTTCTCACGTCCCTCCTCTTACCTGATCGCGTTCAGTAGGTTCTGAAGCTGAGTCTGAGAGGCTTTTTAGAGGCAGTGTAATGTGATGGGAAGCTTACCAGTTTGGAAGTCAGAACAGGAATCTCTCAGGGGTCATGTCCTTAATGTCTCAATTTCCCCATCTCTAAAGTTGGGATTATTTTCCTTACTTCATGGAGTTCTTGTAAAAATTAAAATAAGTAATAAATAAAATAATGTGTGGAAGCTGCTAGTGTGGGAGCTGGCCTCTACGAGGATCTAATAAGTGCCTTCTCCTTAACCTCCTGTTTGTAGAAGCAGGGCAGGGGTGAGATGATTTCTGGGGTTCATTTGGCTCTCAGGGACTGAGTGATCTGTGCTTTAATGCCCTTTCCTGCTGCAAGGGTTGGCACAGATTTGCTGACCTTGCCCCCCCCGGCCCCCCCCCGCCATACTGCTGTGTTTCCTGCCAGCCCTAAAGGAGACTCTGTCCTGTATTTCGTAGGATTCTGCTGTTGTTACTGAAATTCCAGCAGGTCAAAGTGGAATTTCTTATATATTAAACAATTTTTTTAAACATGTATTCACCTTTAAGAGTGAGAGAGACAGAGTGTGAGTGGGGGAGAGGCAGAGAGAGAGAGCGAGACACAGAATCTGAAGCAGGCTCCAGACTCTGAGCTGTCAGCACAGAGCTCGATGCAAGGCTCGAACTCACAGATCGTGATATCATAACCTGAGTTGAAATCAGACGCTTAACTGACTGAGTCACCCAGGTGTCCTGGAATTTCTTATAAATTTTAGCACTGAAAATGAGAGATCATAATATGGCCCTTTAGGATCCAGAGAACATCATGGCCATCCCTCATATAATTCTTTTTTTTTAAATTTAATTTTATTATTATTATTTTTTTTGATATTAAATTTATTGTCAAATTGGTTTCCATACAACACCCAGTGCTCATCCCAACAGGTCCCCTCCTCAATGTCCATCACCCACCTTCCCCTCCCTCCCTCCCCCCATCAACCCTCAGTTTATTCTCAGTTTTTTTTTTAATTTTTTTTCAACGTTTATTTATTTTTGGAACAGAGAGAGACAGAGCATGAATGGGGGAGGGGCAGAGAGAGAGAGAGACACAGAATCAGAAACAGGCTCCAGTCTCTGAGCCATCAGCCCAGAGCCCGACGCGGGGCTCGAACTCACGGACCGTGAGATCGTGACCTGGCTGAAGTCGGACGCTTAACCGACTGCGCCACCCAGGCGCCCCTATTCTCAGTTTTTAAGAGTCTCTTATGGTTTCATACAATTCTAAGAATGAATGGATCCATGCCTATACACGGTGTACCATGAGAGCCAGTGCAGTAGAAAGAACTCGGCCTTTGGATTTTAAAGTGCACCTCCACACTCTTCCTTGTATGCATGGGCAGAAGTTATTAATCCTCTCTGGTCCTGGGATTTGTCATGTGGCAACTGAGTCCTACTTCCTGGAGTAGTAGGGCTGGAATAAGATTAAAGGGCAGGTGGATGTACAGTGGTCCAATACAGGTGGTCCATAAACATTTGTTAGTTTCCCTTCTCTTGACTTATATGTGTGGAAGTTTATAAAATGCTTCAGACTTTTAATCAACTGGTTCTCACAATAAGATTGTGAAATAGGTTGCGTAAGGATTAATATCATTAATAATCATTAATAATATCATTAATAATTTGGAGGCAAAGAACATGAGATTTGGGGGTGGGGTGGAGATAAGTAAGTCACCCAGTGAGTTAACAGTGGAGCCTAGACGAGAAGCCAGGGCACTTGCATCATAACCTGGAGGGCTTTTCATTCTATTTTTTCTTATGTCCCCCATCCCATGGAGTGGAATATGAAAAGGCAGATGTGTAATCCTGGTGCATTTTTTTTCCTCCTATGAACTATGCCTAAGACTCTATTTTTGGGCTTTGGAAGACCAGATTTTGATTTCCAGCTCCTCCTCGTTTAAGAGCTCTAGGCTCTTGGATGAGTCACTTAACTTTCCTGAATCCGCTTCCCTCATCTCTAAAATGGGTACTATTTATATTTATATATTTATAGCTATGACTATAGCTAACATTTATTAAACACTGACATGTGCCATGCCCTGTTCTAAGTACATTACATGGATTACGCCTCTTAATCCTCCAACAAATACATGACTGAAACACATTATAGGTAAGAACAAATTATTCCCACCCGAGCACCAAGATCATAGAGCATGTGATGTCCTTCTCTTTCACACCATCTCTCAAAATGGTTGTGAAGATTACATGAGACATTTTAGGCAAGAACTTTACAAATGGAGTTCTACAGAAACAGAATTATAAGTGTAGCTTGGAAGTTAGCTTCATGATCCATATAAGAGTTGTCTCTGCAGGCACCATTGAGTCTTAGATTACAGTTTCGTTTAATAGTGTTCTCCGCTGTAGAAATAGAAATCTCTCAAAATCAAAGGGTAACAATTGCCATATCTAAGCAAAAAACACAGATAATTTTGGAATACATTTTTTAAAAAGACACTTCTGCACTGGCCTTCAATTGTTATCAATTGCCGCTTTTTCCACTCAGAACTAGGTTAGAAGACAACTTTCTTCTGCAACCAGAATCTGTTCTTAGAATGAGAAAATTCCTAGAATTGTGTACCCATCTTCACCCCAACCCCCCTTTTTAAATTTTTTTTAATGTTTATTTATTATTGAGGGACAGATCATGAGCATGGGAGTGGCAGAGAGAGGAAGAGACGCAGAATCCAAAGCAGGCTCCAGGCTCTGAGCTGTCAGCACAGAGCCCGACGCGGGGCTTGAACTCACAAACCGCGAGATCATGACCTGAATTGAAGTCGGAGGCCCAACCAACTGAGCCACCCAGGTGCCCCACCCCGCCCCTTTTTTCAGTACCTCCTCCACCCCATGCCACTGTCATGGAACCCAGACTGGTTGTCCCTGTTAGTGGAAAAATCTGTCCATAATGCCAAAGTGTTGAGGGCTGAAAGAATTCTATTCTCCCTAAGGCTGGGAGAATAGAATCTTGATTTTTCAAAGAGGAGGAGGAACCAGAGAACCCAGAGACCTTCTTACATCACACTCCCCCCAACAGTTTGGAGACAGCCCCCAATCTCCTTTTATCTTTGGGTCTTTCCATAGCTGCCCCCACCAGTTCTTGCATTCTGGATTCTCTCTTCCCATCTCCCTGTGGAAAAGGACACAGCCTCATAGATTCTGCCCTCCTCATTTCTGGAGAAAGCAATCACAGAACCTCTCAGAGGTCTTCTTGGGACTTGTAATGCTAAGCCCAGAAGGAGAAAGAATGAAGGTGACAAATAGAAATTTCAAACGCATATGAAGTCTTCAAAGCCTCAGAACAAGCATTCTTCCTAAACACAAAAGGGGCTTGGCCGGCCTCTCCTCCTTGGCTTCTAATCTCACTCACCTCTTTCTTCTTATTGTGGGGCAAGCCAAGCCCATGCTGTGTCTCATTTTATTTCCAGGAGCTATGGACTACGCCCTCCTGAGCCCTTGAAATCAGTAGAGGGCGACAACGGTACATGCAGATGGAAAGAGTGAGCCCTGGCTAGAGATTCACCACCACTGCAGAGGGGACAGAGTCTATCCAGTCCTTTCTGTCTCAGCTGCCATGTTTCTTCAGTTTCTACCCCCCCTTCTATCAGTCTACCTCATTCTCAATTCTCACGTTATTTATAAGATCATATTTGTTCTTTGCTAAATGATCTATCAGCTCAGTAGAGAGGGAAAAGATGAACTGAAAGTGTCTTTAAACAGCTAGTCTTCAAATAGGGAGAAATCATTTGAGTATTTTAGATCACAGCTTACACCAAAACAAAATATCGAAGATGAATTAAAGAGTGAAATTTAAAATATATCGAACATCAGAGGATAAAAAAATAGAATATTTACCAAAACATAGAATGGCTGAGAACTGTTTAAAACTTAGAGGCAAAGAAAAATATCAGCAGAGTTGACTCTAAAAGCTAAGACTTCTGCCACTTAAAAATCAGGATAAACAGAAGAATAATCTACAGAATAATCACTTAAGAAAATAGTCATGGCATATATGATAAAGTGTTGGCGTGAAGAGCTCACACAAATTGATTCAAAAGCACATGGGGCGCCTGGGTGACTCAGTCGGTTGTGTGTCTGGCTTTGACTCAGGTCATGGTCTCGTGGTTTGTGAGTTCGAGCCCCGCGTCGGGCTCTGCGCTGACAGCTCGGAGCCTGGAGCCTGCTTCGGATTCTGTGTCTCCCTCTCTGTCTGCCCCTCTCCTGCTCACTCTCTGTCTCTCTCTGTCTCTCTCTCTCTCTCTCTCAAAAATAAATAAACATTAAAAAAAATTTTTAAAAAGCACATTGTGTCCCTAGTAAATTAAGTGACAAAAACCACTAACAGATTGTATAATGAATGAGGAAATTAAATTGGGATAGGAAATTAAGTTAGAAAACAGGACTTTGATAAAATGTACAACTCACTAATGATCAAAGTAGCCAGGTATCATTTCTTTTGTTCCCTAAACTAACAACAACAAAAATAGGTTTTTAAAAATTTTGCTGGTGAGAGTAGTTAATAGGCTCTCTTATACACACACTAACACACGACCTAGTAACAGTATAACAAACTGCAATTTGGAAATATGCATCAAGAGCCTTAAAAATGTTCATACCTTTTGGTCCGCTAATATTACTTCTGAGAATATGTCATGACAGAATATGAGATGCGGATAAGCTCCATGACCAAGGATATTAGTTAGGGATTTTAAAATAATACTTTAAAATGGAAGTAAGCTAAAAGTTGAACACAATAGAAATGGTTCCGTATAGTTGGCTATATCCACTTGAGGAAGGAGCACATACACCGTTAAAATGATGATTATGTGGGAGCGCCTGGGTGGCGCAGTCGGTTAAGCGTCCGACTTCAGCCAGGTCACGATCTCGCGGTCCGTGAGTTCAAGCCCCGCGTCAGGCTCTGGGCTGATGGCTCGGAGCCTGGAGCCTGTTTCCGATTCTGTGTCTCCCTCTCTCTCTGCCCCTCCCCCGTTCATGCTCTGTCTCTCTCTGTCCCAAAAATAAATAAAAAACGTTGAAAAAAAATTAAAAAAAAAATGATGATTATGTGAACTAGAAAATAACAAGGCAAAAATTGGGAATGAATTTCTGCGCAAAGTACCTTTTTCATTATGTTTAAAAATAAACAGAGAAAGTCTTGGGACTGGGGATTCTTTTGTTTTCTGTGGTTTCCAAGATGTTTATGTTATTAGTTTTAGTGAATACATGTGTGTGTCTATATCTACACCTACATCCATATCTCTCTCTCTCTCTATGAAAAATGAATATATATGAATGAATGATGGGTTGGTTGTATCACACTGAGAGGGCACTATAGACCCCAGGTGATGGGACATAGAAATGGGATTCTAGACGCCATGCACATCTTTGGGGGTAAAATTGCCAATCAGGGTCTTTCTTGCATCCCTCATGGAGGAACTGTTTCCTGAAACCAAACCCAATTCTGGAGACTTTGCATAACCCTTGAGAGATAAGCATATTGATGAAAAATAGTGAGTGTTCAGAGTAGAAAAATACACACAGGCTGTGTTTAACTTAGAAGCATGTTCTTGGGATTAGGCACCTTTCACACTCCACAGAGGGTTTTAGTAATGACTGTGATCCAGGGTCCTTTTTCCTTTCTGTGGTGCTTTCTCTCGACTCCTTGGTGAGAGAAGGTTGAGAAGACCAAGAAGCTGGCTATCAGAGGCAGGGGACTAAGATCACCCTGATATCAGACGCAGAAACTGGGAGGAGACGAGTATCATCTTCTAGGAGGGGGATATGAAAGAGCGGTTCTGGGAAGGTGTCCCCGGCCACCTGTACCACTTGAACTTTTTGCTAGGGCTCCCAGAAGACACATTTAAAATCCACTCCCCTCTCCATCCTTCTTTCCCTCTTCCTACCTCCTTCCCTCCTCTCTCTGGCTCTCTTGCCCTTTCTTTTCTTCCTCAGAAAGTATTTCTTTAGTCCCTACTCTGTGCTGGTAGTATGTCAGTCTTCATCCCTGGTGCCTGTGGTTTAATGGGAGAAATGAATGAGCAAATCAGCAATTACAGCGTAGTGCAGGAAATGCAATGTTAGAGGTAAGTGAGGGCACTGGGGGTGTGCAAAGGAGGAACAAACAACCCAGATTGGGGAGGGAGGATTTCCTGAAAAAGAAGACATCCCTACGGTGTCCTGAAAGCTGCATAGGGATCAGGGAGGTAAAGAAGTGCTGCTAAGTGTGACCCAGGCAGAGTCAGTGCATATCCTCATGGGACAGTGTGTCTCTGGTTGTCTGACTCAGGGAAAAGCTGTGTGTGTGTGCCTTGTGCGAGTGTGTGTATACGTGTGTGCACTCATGTGTATGTATGCGTGTGTGTGTGTGTGCAATAACCCAAATGATCTATCATGTGATCTAGGAAATGGGGAGAGGAAGAAAGAATGAAAGAGAAAGAAGGAAGAACAGACATAAAAATGAAGGAGAGGGAAGTAGAGAAGATAAAAGGAGGCAGAGAGAGAGAGAGATTGGTTAGAGTTGAAGGAGAGGATCTGAGCCATCATCCTTGGAAAACTCAAGGGATAGATTCTTGACAAATGGACTCTTGGAATTCGATCTAAGGAGGCTGGTCCTGTGCCCAGACATGAGGTAATTGGAAAAGTGTTGTCCTGCCCTCACTGAACTCACGATCTGTTGAGGAAAGGAGACCATACACAAAGAATAATGCTAAGTATTACAAATTTCAGGGCAAAAAGAGATCAAGGTGGGTGGAAATTGTTAGAACAGTCTTCCATAAGAGGTGAGTGTTCAGAGAGCAGGTCTCAGAAGTGGGTGCTGCTGAGATGGCCCTGGTCCTGCATAGGTCCTGACGGGGTGTGCTGTGTGGGGTCTGCTCACAGGGCTGACGGTGCGAATCTGGGTTCCAGGGCTCAGGATGCTGTTGCTACGAGCTGTTCTATTGCTACTGGTCCTGCCAATTCGCGGCCAGGACTCCGAGACAGAAGGGCCTGGAGTTGTGGTTCCCCTGCCAAAAGGGGCCTGCACAGGTTGGATGGCAGGCATCCCGGGGCATCCCGGCCACAATGGGATCCCAGGCCGGGATGGTAGAGATGGCACCTCGGGTGAAAAGGGTGAGAAAGGAGATCCAGGTAAGAACAAGGCTTTCGGCTTCCATTGTCATAGACTTCTGTGGGGTGGAAGAGGCATTAGCTATTGACTAAGGCCTAGACACAGGGAGGAAGTGAATTTGTTTTCTGTGACCCACAAGCAACCCAAAATGGATTTGGGTTCGCCTCTGAGAATAAGTGGTACCTGTAAAACTAGTACGCTCAACTCTGCTCTAGCCACATCACGTTCTCTGTACCTTTTCCCATCCCCACCTCATCCGTCACTATGCCCAATCTGTTCACATTCACGTTACCCTTCATTTCCGCTAACTTCCCATTCCACCCAGGGGCATTCACACATAATGCACACTCTTACAGCTCACGGTCCTGCTCCTGCGGAACTCTTGGTCTGATTAAGGACATAAGTCTAATGCACAAAGCTGTTAAGGATTACTACGAGAAAGCCTATTCCAAATATGCCAAGTTGAATGTGGACTAATGCCGGAAGTACGGAACCGAGACAAAATGCTCTCAATGCAGATCCGGATTATTAACAATGAAGGCTTTAAGAAGGAGGTGGGACTGGAGCCAGGCCTTAAAGGATGGGTAGACAGAATAGAGAGAGGGCATTCCAGACAGAGGGGATAGAAGTATGGTTGGTTGAGCCAACATGTGAAGGGCTGGCAGGGTGGAGGGTCTATGATGGAGACTTACAGGGAATGAGGTTGGAGATGAATTAACGGGAGATGTAGAAGGAGAAGGTATAACTCACCTCTTTGGGAGCCCCCATCGTTTCCCTGCTCTGCAAGTCGGGCAAGTTGTGGGTAAGGGAGATAAGGATGGTGTTTTAGGTTAGAACTAACCTAGGGAGGAGTTCTGTTTCTGTGGTCACTGAAGTCTTCTCGTTCTCTAGGTCTTGTTGGTCCTAAGGGTGACACTGGTGAAACTGGAGTAACTGGGGTTGAAGGTCCCCGAGGTTTTCCAGGAATCCCAGGCAGGAAAGGAGAACCTGGAGAAAGTGCCTACGTATACCGCTCAGCGTTCAGTGTGGGATTGGAGAGTCGGGTCACAGTCCCCAATGTTCCCATTCGCTTTACCAAAATCTTCTACAATCAGCAAAACCACTATGATGTTACCACTGGAAAATTCCACTGCAACATTCCCGGGCTATACTACTTCTCCTACCACATCACAGTCTACTTGAAGGACGTCAAGGTCAGTCTCTACAAGAGAGACAAGGCGATGCTCTTCACCTACGACCAGTACCAGGAGAAGAATGTGGACCAGGCCTCTGGCTCTGTGCTCCTCCATCTGGAGATGGGCGATGAAGTCTGGCTCCAGGTGTATGGGGATGGGGACTCTAATGGGCTCTATGCAGATAACGTCAATGACTCCACCTTTACAGGCTTCCTTCTCTACTATGACACCGTTTGATCACAACTAACTTAGAACCTCCACTGGGCCAGACAACCAAAAGTGAAAGAACAGTCTACAGGTTCTCAGTGTAGTTAGGAGATTAATTTTACTACCTGGTTGGAGGGCTCTGAACATTATTCATTCATTTACTCATTCATTCATCAAGTCCTTTAAAAAAATTATATACTATGTTCCTGAAGAAGACATGGTCCCTGGCCTCAAGGATCTGCTATGTAGTAGCAATGAAAGGTTAATAACATTTCCTGGGGTGCTTTGCACACATGGCAAGATACCTGACTACCATAAAGTATTTCATAGTGTTATTCTGTGTCTATTGTTTTTCCTCATATTCATGCCAATCCTGCGAGGTACACAGGAAACGTATTATTCTCCTCTTTTTGCACTTGGGTTCTGAGCCTGAGAGTGACTGCCTAAGGTGACACAGGTATTAAGTGGCAGAGTTAGAAATCAAACCCAGGTCTAGAGACCTTCTCCTCTAGACCCTGCCCTTGTTTAGGAGTACACGGCCTCTTGGGAGTGTTGGTAGGGAGTCAATCACCCAGCTCATCTGAGGGCCTCCGAGTTGGCCTTCATGGTGAGTTACGCCTTTCCCCGGTAGAGCTGCGTCAGAGAAGGTGATTCTATGGCTATGTCCCATCCCAACTGGACTATTAATGGCCCCTGAATGACTGTACTTTGGCTTCTCTGTCTCTTTCCTCATGCTCTTCTCTCTAGCTCAGAAAGCGACTTCGATCTCCACAGGCTGAAATCCTCCCTGTTCCTCAGAGACACCTAGTCAGGAAACTTCTCTGATGGGCTCGCTCTTTCCTGCAAACCTTCCGCACACATTGTGCCCCTATGCCCCGCTATATGTTATGCTAGATGAGAGTCCTGAATGTGAAAGACATCCTTCCTCCAGGCCAGGGACTACTGATGGGAAAGAACTGAGCTTCCCTCACCACCGAGTCCCTTTGCAGGTCCTTGATAAATGCCTCATGAAGACCAACCTTTGGAATCTCATCCCTATGCAGAATTATCTCCAGTTCAGTCTCTCCATATAACTAAACCTGATCTATGAAACATTTTCATTTTAGGAACTCCCTGAATTTAAGCACCTAATCCTTGTTCCACTGGAGAGTTTGACTCTTTTCTACTGAGGTTTGGGATGACTGTGCTTTCCAGAATACTTAAAGAATTTTCCCTCAAGGAAGTAGCTTCCGTCCACAATGCAAAACACACAAAGGAATTTGGAAACCATTCTTTCCTTCAGCACTAACAGGGTCTGGCAAGGCCTGGACCTTCTGAATCTATTCTTGTTCTTTAAGTGTTAAAGAAGAAAAGAAGGAAAAAAAAAGAACAAAAAAGAACTATCTGAGGTGATGGGCATGGTAATTAACTTGATTGTGGTGATCATTTCACAATTTTTATCTATAACAAATCATCACATTATACATCTAAATATACACAAGTTTAATTGTCAAAAATATTCCAAAAAAAGAAAGCAGGTGATTGATAGTGGTAAATATCTTCCCAGGAGACAATAGTTTGAATAAAGCTTTTCAGCGTTTTTAGCAAAAGTAGAGTCAATAGCAGCATTCTTTATAAACAGAAAGGGGAAAGGGTTTGTGTTGCTTACAGTTTTAAATTCTGAATGATTCCCTTTTGCATGTGTATTGCTAATCATTAAGCCACTATTATTTCTACATACAAAGCCCTGTCTTTTAAAATGTTTGCATACCATCATTTTCTACAAGTAAAGGTACTCTTCAGCATTAAAAGTAGAAGCACTTTAGTCCCACGAAAGACATGGGGTTTAGAGAGGAAGGAGTAAACTGTGTGTGAGGACGCCATGTTATGAATGACAGAAAACCCAACTGTAACTTGAGAGGAAAACAAAAAAAAAGATTCCCTTGCACGATGGAAAATACCAGAGCAGCTGCTCTGTCATGAGGCAAGGCTTAAACCAGAGGCTCAAGTGAAATCAAAGACCTTTTTCTATCTGTTCTTCTACTCTGCCTTCAGCAGTGTAGGCTTAACACCCAGGCTCTACACAGTATACTGCTAGACTTTTCCTCAGGATATCAAAAGACTGACTGGTAGGGTTGCCTGGGTGGCTCAGTAGGATGAGCGTCTGACTCTTGATTTTGGCTCAGGTCATGATCCCAGGGTCATGGGGTTGAGCCCCGCTTTGGTCTCTGTGCTGAGTGTAGAGCCTGCTTGGGATTCTCTCTCTCCCTCTCCCTCTGCCCTTCCCCTGCTTGCACATGCTCTGTCTCTCACTCTCAAAAGAGAGAGAGAGAGAGAGAGAGAGAGAGAGACTTAAAAAAAACCCAAAAGACTGACTGGTAGCGTGCCAGCTCTGGCACCCTCCCATCCCACCATCTGGCTAAAGGGATATCCTCTTTTCTGGTGGTTCCCAAGGAGGAGAGTGGAAGTTCTCTTTTCCATAAGCCCCAGCAACTATGTCTTTGCACGCCATTGGCTCTGGCTACATTGTATGCCCATCTCTGACCAATTATTTCGCTCAGGACGATGGACTATATTTATTGACGTAAGTTGATTATGGCTCAAGCTGAAGAAAGGGTATTTTCTCTAAAGCAAAACAGGAGACGGTTACCAGAAGTGGGAGAGTGGATGATGAATTGCAAAAACACCTGCCCACAATATACTCTCAGTGGCATGTTTGAATTTTCTTAGGTTTCTCAGGGAGATATTGCTGGAAAATTACTATCGGTTTTCCCTAAAATTTCAACAAGTAGCTAATGTCTGGCCATGCTCACAGTCCCACATCTGGGTAAGGTGGCTTCTTCACAGCACTGGACATAGTGCCACACTCACCGTAAGCTCCCTGGAGCAGGGTTAGTTCTTTGTGGAAACAGAGAGAGCCAATCTGCCCAATACCTCCTGAGAGAAGTTGTGGCCAATATTTTAGGATTAGTGGTCCTGTGTTATCTTCATGGCCCCATCATATCTTCAAATAATACTTATGGGTTTGTTTATTTCTCTTCAGTTCTGCCAGCTTTTGCTTTATGTATTTTGGAGTTCTCCTATTAAGTACATACTCTTTTAATATTATGTCTTCTCGGTGAGTTTACTTTTTATCATTATATAATGCCTTTATTTATCTCCGGTGATTTTCCCTATTCTGAGGTCTATTTTGTCTGGAATTTATATAGGCACTCTAGCTTTCTTTTGATTGTTGTTTGCATGGTATATCTTCTTCCATCATGTTGCTTTAAATCTATGCGGTTGACTCTTGAACAGTGTGGGGTTTAAGGGTACCAACCCTCCACACAGTAAAAAAATCTGTGTGTAAACTTGACCCTCCAAAAACTTGTCTACTATTGACCAGAAGCCTTAATGACAACGTAAATAGTCGACTAACATGTGTTCTGTATATTATAGGTATGATATGCTGTATTCTTACAATAAAGTGAGCTAGAAAAAAGAACATGTTATTAAGAAAATTATAAGGAAGAGAAAATACATTTATATTATTGTATGTGTATTTATTGAAAAGGAATCTGTGTGTTAGTGGACCCATGCAACTAAAACCCATGTTGTTCTGGGGTGCCTGGGTGGCTCAGTCGGTTAAGCGTCCAACTTTTGTTTTTGGCTCACGTCATGATCTCAAGGTTCACAGGTTCAAGTCCTGCGTTGGGCTCTGCCCTGGCAGTGCAGAGCCTGCTTGGGATTCTCTCTCTCTCCTTCTCTCTCTGACCTTCCCTCCCCCACACCCCCTGACACACACTCTCTCAAAATAAATAAATAAACTTTAAAATAGTAAAAATAAAACCCATGTTGTTCAAGGGTCAATTGTATTAGTGTACTTAAGATGTATTTTCTTAGAGACTGCTTGTGACTGGGTCTTGTTTTTTTATCCCATCTGAAAACCTTCTCTTTTAATTGGTGTTTTAGACAATTCATATTGAATACAAGAGTTGTTATGGTTGGATTTAAGGCTACCATTTTGTTTTCGTTTTGCCTCCCATTTTATTCTCTTTCCTGACTTCTTTTGGATTGGTTGAATATTTCATAGTATTTCATCTTAATTTATTTATTGGATTTTTGTCTATGTGTTGGTGGTATTTTTTAGTAGTTGCTCTAGGAATACAATGTATATGCCTAACTTTTCACAGTATAGTTAGAATTAATATTTTAGCACTTCAAATAAAATACAGATGCTTATAATCACATAGTGTTCTTTGTCCGGATCTCTTTACATTGTGGTCTCTATGTATATTACATCTATATACATTGAAACATTACAATGTTAAAACTTTTGCTATTAAAAGTCCTCCTCCACTAAGGGAGGCTGGAGCCAAGTAAGGTCTTGACTTACCCCAGCCTCTGAATTTTACTGTGCCTGGACTGGTTGATGAGAATATATTACACCCTGTGCAGAGACTAAAAAAGTCGGTGTGACCCCACCCACAGGGACCAAACTGGAAATAGTAACCTCCAAATTCAGAAATTTTGTTCATCTAGTATTTTACTCAGGAATTTCTAGAAATATCCAGGTTTTGAAGAATGTTTTGAAAGAATTAGATTTTTTTTCCCTTTAACCTTTTAGTTCTCACTCGGGTATTTTATAGTAAGTAAACATGAGTTTGAACAAAATTCACATGTCTGGGGCACCTGGGTGGCTCCGTCAGTTAAGTGTCTGACTCTGGATTTGAGCTCAGGTCAGGATCTCATGGCTCATGAGTTCAAGCCCCATGTCAGGCTCTGTGCTGACAGCACAGAGCCTGCTTAGGATTCTCCCTCTCCCTCTCTCTCTGCCCCTGCCCTGCTCTCTCTCTCTTTCTCTCTCTCTGTCTCTCTCTAATAAAGAAAAAAAAAAAGAGAAAAAAATTCACATGCCTTTGAACAAAAACCACATTTTCCCAAAAGGAAGTGAAGTGAGATCTCTTCACTTTATCAGTTATGTGTGTTTCACAAGGTCAGTGTAAGTGGAGTCCCTGGGCCAAGATGAAGTCTTAGTGGGCAGTTCAGTCTGTGGTTAGAGTCAGGGCTGTGAACAGGCTCAGGGTCAGTGTGTGATGAGGGCTACGTGTGGTGGACATCTATTGGATGTCCTGCCATTTCTCCCTGGTGCCCCTTCCCCACCACACCCCTCCCCCCCCTCCCCCACCCCCGTCCTTCAGTTCAAGCAGTGAAGGTGGTCCATTCTGTGTTCCATTCTGATCCCTTTCTCCTAGAGGCTGTTGAATGAACCAGGGCAGGTGCTTGATCTAAGCCAGGCCAACCCAATTTCCCTCAGGAATATGAATGAGGATACATGCCAAACATGAAGATTCAAGTCTCATGGGTGGCTACCTTCTGCCAGACGGTCTAGAGAGAGAAGAGGCTCATCTTGGTGAAAGAACCAGTCTTAGGAACAGAACTGAAGGGATGCCTGGGTGACACAGTCAGTTAAGCGTCTGACCCTTGCTTTCAGATCAGGTCTTGACCTCACGGTTTGTGAGTTTGAGCTCCGCATCAGGCTGTGCGTGGATGACGCGGAGCCTGCTTGAGATTCTCTCTCTCCTTCTCTTTACTCCTCCCCCCCCTTATACTCACTTTCTCTCAAAGTAAATAAATCAACTTAAAAAAAAAAAGAAAGAAAGAAATAGAACTGAAAGTTGGAGGGAGAGTGAGAGCATTCTAGTTCCCAGAAGCTTTCCCCTTTTTGTTTCCATTCCTTCTTGACACAGCTGTATCGCTGCCCGTGGGTCCCCCGAGAACCAGTTCCTAGATTTTTGTACAATTTCTCCTTTTAACTTAAGCCAGCTTGAGTTGATTTCTGTTACAGTAAAACCTTGCATTGCGAGTAACTTGGTTCTATGAGTGTTCTGCAAGACGAGCAAACGTGGCTAATAAATTTTAACTTGATAAATGAGCGATGTCTTGCAATAAGAATAGTACGTGACGCTGAATGTCGCATGATCACAACATGATCACAATGGTTCCTCTCTCTCTGTCTCTGTCTCTCTCTCTCTGTGGGATTGTGGGTGATTGTCTCCCATGCTCAGATGCTTAGTCTCAGGCCATGGTGTTTGGCAGAAATCAGTGATTTTTCAGAAGGTTGGAAGGTGCCCACAACTGGCCCTAGTGTATTTTTTGTCACTTCAAAGCGCCTACGGACAGACCTTTGCTTTTCCATACAAAAGTAAGCTTAGGAATGCTTTGCTTCATTCTAGGTCATTAGGTAGGTTTCTTGTTAAAGTTGAACAAAAGAAAAAGATTCCATTGAGCCAATAGATAGCAGTGATTCCATTAGTGACAGTGAAAGTCGTCCTACACAATAACCCTCCTTTGTCTCGTCTTCCTCACACAGGCCATGAAGATTTTCAAAGGTAAGG